AATCACTTGGAATTGTGCGTGAAAATGTCGGAAACTCTTTTTTATTGCTGAGGCACGTACATGTTGAAGTGTAGCTTACCTGTTGAAATACAAACCGTCACATTAGTTTTTTTTTCGGTGCTTGTACAAAACAGAATTTCAATTCATGTTTAGTGCAAGAGTATTTCTATTTAAACTTCGACTGAACAGGTGTACAGTATGTGCTAATAAAAAGAGTCAGTAAGAAAACGGACTTCGCGACGATAAAGAAAATGTTAAACTTATTTCCTTTAAAAAACAATTTTATTAAGGTATCGTGTGAGGCAAACACTGACTTCTATCTCGAAGTTTTATGGCCCCTGATTAAATATCTCATCTAAGAACTCAGATCGAAGTCCAAACTTTCTTCTGAATTTCCAATTTTTGTTTGTTTTTTAATCAAAGCTCAGGAACGCTTTAGCAACGTCGACATAAATGTAGATTTGAGAAAATGTAGAAATATTTACCAAGGGAATGCCGAAGGGTCCCACCACTCGAGAGATGTATAAAGAATCAGAAGTTACAACCGCAGGGGTTGAAGAGGAACATGTAGAGTTAGAAGCCTCTAGTCCGTTTAGTATTGCGAGAGCCGCTCTTACAGTTAGAGTTGGAGAGGCGCAGTTGTCGAGGACTCGATAGCCCAAAGTGATGTTGGGAAGCAAACTGTTGTCCTTGTTGATCTCCTCTATGGTAAAAATCATCGCCTGGGTCCATCGAAAAGCACGCAGATCAAACCTATTAAAACAGTTTGATATCACAAGCTTACATGAAAATTACTCTTCCCTTAAAACATTTGACTCATTCCCATTGTACAGTACGTGACTGTTTTTTTAACCCACCTGTTACTGAACCTACTGTACGTTCAAATTGAAAACGTAATGTTCTGATAACTGCAGGAGGTACAACAACTTACCCAACACATTTCGCTTGCTGTGGCCGAGTTTCAAACGACACGTAAACGTTTTCCTCTTTAGTAAATACAGGGAAAACACCACCAATCAGTAACTGCCCGTCTTTGAATAATCCGGTTGTTCCAAATTTTTCTAGCATCCTGCAGGTCAAATCACCGTTCACTTGAAAAGAGGAACACAACATGAATAAAGATAGGATCGACTTCTTCATAATGCTGTGCTGTAGGCTAAGAGTGTAAGAGTATTACAATAATAGTTCAACGGTAAATTTTCCTTTTATGCACTGAACCACATTCCCCATGGCCTATCAAAGGGATGCACAGAACAAAATAATCAAGTCCACATATCCCGAGAGGTATTCGCGTTTGGGGAATGTGCGACCTGCTCTATTAACGTGAACTGCGTCTCACCTTAAGAAGAAACAACAGCTGCCTACAGACGGTGTTAACACAATATTGTTTTGCTCTCAATCGACCAGAAATACAAAAACATTTTTTTTATATGCAAGACGCCTTAGGCTTTTACTGAAAATAATTGCATCCTTTTAAACACTATAAAATGCAATTCTCAATATCACCAGCATGCACTGTCCATTTTCTCCTTAGAATATTTTGATTGCAAACGAAATGATTTCAACACTTAAACTGAGTCTGAGCTTCAAAGCCTCCAGTATTAATGTTCCAGTGCACACATTCACTGTTTGTCTCTGAAAACCCTTACGTGACACTTGGTTTGCTGCATACTGGGTTATCGCTTAGTTTTTTGCACACACACATATAATTTAGGATTTAATAAAGATTTTTGTAAACTATGCAAAATATAATATGCAATTTGATAATTACTTATAAATATTAGGATATGTTGCTCTCGGGGTTATTATAATCTCAGCAATAATATGATGGTCATCTTCTTAAAAATACCTTTAATCAAATAACTCCAAATGGGTGAGATACTCACTGTCATTACAGTTACTATGATGCAAAAATGCTGCAATATTAAACTCATGTGCCACTTGACTACAATTTTGTTGTCACAGCTCTTATTACTTTGAATTAGAGATCCTCTCTACAGATTGACTTGCTACAGTTCCAGCATCCTGCCACCAGAGGGCACCCCAACCTCTAGTGCCTTCTTCATCTGTGCAGCAGAGGTAGATCAAGCAGATGGCAGTAGCCCATCCCTGCTTGCTCAGTGTCCCTACTTTACCACGCCTCCCCTCTCCAAACCTATTTAAACCCTCACACCTGAAGAAGGCTCCATGGCCAAAACGTTGTGGTTTCTTTTGTCTCCTTTCAGCATGGAATAAACCTATTACTTCTCCTGCTCTTTATTCAAACTTTGCTCAGTATTGTTTTTAACTCTTTGAGCCCTTGATCTAACCTTTGCTGAATTATTTCTGGACTCCTTGCCTGACTTTTGGATTTTTGCCTGTTTCCTGACCTTGGCTTTTGGATTGTGTTTCTGGCACTTGTTACTGAAATTGTCTTTTGCCTTGGACTTTCGCTCACCTCTTGACCCTAACCTTGGAACCCGCATGGAAACCTGGGATCAATCTGGGGGTGTTGTCTGCGTGGACTTTGTGTGTCTTGGATTCTGATGTAATAATGAACTGCAGACCAATATCGAATTTACCATTTCTATCTAAGGTTTTAGAACATGTGGCTGTACTTCAATTACAGGACCGTATGATAGCTAATGACTCGTTTGAGCCATTTTAGTCTGGCTTTCGCTCAAATTATACCGTTAAGACTGCATCTGTCAGGGTTGTGAATGATTTACATATTGCCTCTGCTAAATCATTCTATGTTGCTAAATAGCTTGCAGACTTTTTTGTTTATCAGTGGTACTGTCTTTAACTGGTTTTGCTTTTATCTGACTGGCAGACAGCATTTTGTCAAAACACATGTGCAACATATTGTCAAAACATCTTTTTTTCACCTCAGAAATATCGCTGGGCTATACCCTATGTCATCACTATCTGTGGCTGAAAAGCTGATCAACACATTTGTCCTCTCTTGAATTGACTACTGTAATGCTCTACTCCCTGGGGTATCTAAATCTACATTGAAAAAACTGCAGTCTGTCCAAAATTTGGCAGCCAGACCAGGTCTAATGCAAGTGATCACATTACTCATATCCTGGAGTTCTTGCACTGCCTTCCTGTGAAATTCTGTGTGGGCTTTAAAATCCTCATGCTCATCTATAAGGCTCTGCATGGCTTGGCACCTCAGTGCCTGTCTATTCTATTATTGCCCTACTCCCCACCTTGCAACCTTCACTCTTCTAATTCTGGTCTCCTAACTGTCCCCCAAGCCCATCTGCATTCTTTGGGTGACAGGGCCTTCTCCTGTTATGCCCCAAAACTCTGGATCTCTCTCCCCAAGGATATCAGAGAGTCACCTTCTCTAAACACCTTCAAATCCAGACTCAAATCCTTCTTCTTTAGAAGAGTCTTTACTTAACTTTACTTAAAAGTTTATTATTATTTACTCACCCTTGGTCCTCATGAATCCCCCATGGCCCCAGTCAATCACGGTGTGCCTCAGGGTTCAGGTTTTGGCCCTTTGCTTTTATTATTGATATGCTACCTCTCGGCCAAACGATACGCAAACATGGTCTTCAGTTTCACTGTTCTACAGATGATGCTCAGATTGATGTTAAAACTTCTTCCCCCTCTGGTCTCCTCCCTCCGTCACTTGTCTCTTGTTTGCTTGGTCGACATCAAATTCTCTGAAGCTAAATAGTGACAAAAGACATCTTTTTTTCATCTTAGGTAATTGTTATCAATGTCCGATGCTGAGTGCCTGGTTCATGCATTTATAACATCAAGGCCTGATTTCTCCAACTCTTTACTCTATGGGCTCCCTAACTCACTTCTCAACAACTTGTAATATGTTCAGAACTCTGCAGCCAGACTACTTACTCACACCAGACCCTGGGAGTATATCACTTCTACACTGAAGTCTCTGCATTGGTTGCCTATGAAGTCA